TGTGAGAATCGTTATTCATCCTGGAGAAATCCGATGAGCTATGAAGCTCTTTTTCACAAATGTCCAGCAGAGAGTCTCAATTGGCATTTACCGGATTGTAAATAAATCGCCTGCTGGTTATCAATAAGTCACAACGTGGATTCTCACTCAGTGGAGCCTGGTGTGAGAGCACTCCGTGCCACGTATTCACGTGGCACGGAGTGATTATACGCACAGGACAACCAACAACCGCCGTTGACTTCCCCACGAGGTAGAAGTATTTTTTTCTTTATCAACCGCAGGGAAACTACGTGGGGCCCGAGTCCACACGTGAGCGGGATTTGAACTCTCAAGCTCGTAGTGGCACGTCACCCAGGGGGTATCTCTCGCTCCTGGGAGGGCGGCGTTGCTCCCCACCCCCCCCCCCCCCCCACCTTTTGCGCTCCACCACCGTCACCGCACGGAGGGTTCGCCCCGGTGTCAGGATGCCGATGGGACAGCCAAATTCACACCCCCCTCCCCCTTCCCCGCCAGGACCCCAAAATAGGGCCTCGCCGAAAGCATGGCTCACGTAAATAGTAGCGCGGGAGGATTTTGATGCTCACGTCGGCTCCAACTCAAGGTTCAAAAGTTGTCCGCGCATCAGCTCTGCGTGTCCGCCGTCCGCAGAGAAACTCTCGCGATTCCGACGACGGGGAACCACACCGCGGTCATGAGGCCGCGGTGCCGTTGGGAAGGCGGGTTATCGCGGCGACCCGCGTGTCACGCAGACGGACGGCGAGAGCCGATGAGATACGAAGCTTTCGAGCATCGTTGGAGGGGGTGGGGGGAGAAACCCCACATACTAAAATTACACTTTTTTTTAGATCTTTTACAAAAGCGATCTGGCCACAAGTGATCACTCAACGAAGCGGCTTATCAGGTGGAAATGTATAGCAGCCAAATGCTCTAAACGCGTGATGCTGATTCTAAATGTGGAGGAAAAAACCGGAGGACCCAGAGAAAAATCCACGCGACCACGGGGAGAGAGAGAGACGCGCAATCTCGAAATATACAGCAGCAGGCGTCAGGGTGGGGATCGAACCCACGACCTCCTCCATACCAGGCGAGGTAGTTAACATCTCGACATCGGCGTCCGTTCGCAATGCGTGGTCGCTCGGGAGGTGTGGAGAGGCGTCGCTCGGCACAGCGACGCGTTCACGTTCACACGCTCGGCGGGCGGTTTCACCACCTGGACACTATTGGTTACTTGACGCCTCGTTTAATGCATAGATAGATGAAATGTGTTTTTAGCTTTAGCTGGCCTAACCGGGCGGGGTGGTGGAAGAGGGGAGGCTACCCGGACGGGTTAATGGGGTGGCACAAAGAGTTCAGCTGCCAATGGGGAGACCTTGAAGCCAGTTGGTGGGGGACTGTTAAGAGCAGACCTTGAAGGACAGGTGTCAAACTTACGACAGCTACAGGATCAAGCGCATGGAAGGGATAGCAGGTTCGGTGGCATCAAGGGAATTGGCAATGATGACCTATTGACCTTAACCTTAATCCATTGTTGTATGGAGGCTCCCACACGCCAGGTTAATATTGGTGGTTGGTTCACCGTACTTTAACCACGCTGGTCTTGGCAGGTTTGTAGAAGTTGGATGGAGGAGGGAAACGCAATACCGGTGCATAGATCACGCGACCTTAACTGGATGCGGTGCTCGATTTCACCCGGTTCTGCCTTGGTTGGCGGCCCAGGAAAAAATATGTTGTACCAGCACATCACAAACTTCTTGCTGTGGCTCTGGCTACTAATAGTCACGTACCACCTACTCCAGTCTGCCAACGACATGGAAAACATCCAGTGAAAATGTAAACCCTACCTGGATGGATTGTAATCTAAACTATACTCAACTATTTTTTTTATTTTACCGGAGGCCCACTGAGCTTTACAGCTGTTTTTTCTGAAAGGAGCTGGTTTATTACGTGGAAATTTACAGCAGCCAAATACTCTAAATGCATGTTTCTAAATGTGGAGGGGGAAGAAAAACGGAGGACCCGGACAAAAATGCACGCGACCACGAGAAGACGTGCAAACTCCAAAATATACAGCAGCAGGCGTCAGGGTCAGGATCGAACCCACGACCTCCTGTACACCAGGCGAGGTAGTTAACATCTTCTAGCCACCGTGATGATGATGAGAGAGAGAGACACGCACACTCCAAATATACAGCAGCAGGCGTCAGGCTCAGGATCGAACCCACGACCTCATGTACACCAGGCGAGGTATTTAACGTCTCACCACCGTGGCACCATGCCATTCACTTGGTGAATGTTTGCCGGGCATACTAATATAATGAGCCAAGAATGTATGTGTGTAACACACGTGACGTCACTCCACGTCGACCAGCCCCTCTCATTAATAATGATGAACAGGTGGGGTCCTCCACATGACCCCCCCCCCCCCTCATTAGGTCGAGCGGAAATATATTTTTTCGCAAATTCGCCTTACGTTTGACGTTTCTTCTTGAAAGTGATTCAAATAAATAATTATATGCAGCAACAAAGTCGATTTGGTGTCTTTATATATTTCTTCAGCACTTGAAACAAAAAGTAAGTCTAATTTATGCTTCGAACTTATCATAAAATAGACATTTCTCGGTGATTTTCCAGATATTGTATCAAATTCAAATGTCTTTCAACCCCAGCGACTGAAAGCAGAAGAGAATAAAGTATCAGAGCAGTGAATTTGAACAAATTGAAGGTCAGTTTATATACAGTGCTACAGTGACATGAAGTGAGGTATATTCTTGGTTCTTTCGCTAAAGTCACGGAAAGGGAAACAATAAAATATTTTTATTATTATTTTATTGTTTCCCTTCTACGTGACTTTACCGAAAGAACCAAGAATATGAATCCCTGCAGTCACGAAAGCTTTAAATCAAAATGAAGTGTGGTCTTTTATGACGTAGTTTTGTGCTAGATTCACTGCCATAAAATGTACACAAGATACAATTATTCTCTGCTCAATTTTTTTCGTAAACATTACAGCTTCCGTCCAAGGACGGCCGAACAAGCTAGTCTCGTGCAGTTGCCGACATGGAGGGTAAAGGCGCAGCCCCGCAAATGCCTTGCTCGTTCCACTGCTTGCGAAAGAGCCTCCACTCGAGAGAGCTCACAAAGGAGCCCCCTCCAGACGCTGCCCGAAAAAAACCATGAGAATACCCAGAGTTTACCCCCACGACATGCAAGCTGCCGACGGGCTAACCGTGTTGAACCCACGTACTGTTCAGCAGGTTGCTAGACGGAGCAGGGGGGATTGAAGGCAGATAGATGCCTGTGGTTTAAAACTGCTGCGCCAGGAGATCAAGTCGAAGCGGCGATCTTTGGAGTTCGAGTCCCCGCGCGCTGACCCTGGAAAATCAAGTATCGGGATCCCCGCCTCCTCGTGAATCTGGCTGTCCCATCGGCAGCGTTCACGCGAGGTGGACATTGTGGATGAGTCATCCACCACCTGCGTAGTTACCACAGGAAGAGTTATATTCATATATGTGAAGAAGAAATGTGGGGGGCGGGTTGGCGGTGTATATATAAACAAAACAATCCATGTTGACAACGAAAGCAAACAGGAATAATGTGACGATAATTCACCATAGATTGGACAGTGTGACAGTGGATGGACTGCTCGAGGGTAAATGAGATGCGATTATAATTGGTACGGCGTTACGTAATGCGAAGCAACAAAAGGCGAGACGGTGGTGGAGGGGTTTCTCTCTCTCTTTCTTCCGTTGTGATGAGTGGTTGTGTGTGTTTTTTTGTTCTCGTGGTTTTTCTGCTCGGATGTCAATGAATGTTCATGAACGTCCGTGGCATGAATGGACGAGATGCAGGGACAGCGCGCGCGCGCGCGCGTGTGCGCGTGTCCAACTTGGCGTAACTTGTCAACAAAATCACGGATCGGCTGCGCTACGTGTTGCTGTGTCCTGCGCGTTCTCAGCTACTGGGTGATGCGTGCGCCTGCACGCGTGGTGTGTGTGTGTGTCTCATTTTGTAGATGACAAAATGAGAAAACCATTCATCTCTATTCATCCATTATCTCAGGATCCGGTATCCCCGCTGCTGTGAAAGTCATCGACTCGCGAGGATTGGCATTCACCCGTTTCGCACGTGTACATTTACACAGCCCTGTTGTTGTCACTCTTGTTTGGCCATACTTCACCGCGCTGGATGGTGTCGGTTGGTGAAGGCAACATCAGCAGCGTGGCAAAATCCATTGTTGTTATGTACTTCTGTGCTCCCGTGTCTATGTCTGTGTTGACAGCTTTTACCAACTTGTACTGAGCAGCAGGCCCGTCCATCCATAGGGGGGTGGGAGGCCTGGGGCAAATCCCACAGTGTGCTCTCCCCCCCCCCTGACGCCTTTAAACTAAACCGGGACTATTAATCTCACACTGTGACGTCGAAGCACGGGGCCTCCAGAAGCGCGGGGCCCGGGCGGTGGCTCTGATCCACCGTTACCCTCGGGACGGCTCTGCACAGCGTGGTGTGGAGGCTCTGATCCCGCGGTGAATAGACAAGAGGCCTGTGTACATGTACTGCACGTTGTGGAGACACGGTCTCACCGTTGTCCAGGGCGCCACGGTGGCCAGATGTAAACCACCTCGCCTGGTATTCAGGAGGTCGTAGGTTCGATCTCAACCCTGATCACTCCTGTATATTTGGAGTTTGCGTGTCTCTCTCTCCCCGCGGTCGCGTGGATTTTTCTCCGGGTCCTCCGGTGTTTTCCTCCACATTTAGAATCAACAACGCGCGTTTTAGAGTATTTGACTGCTATATAAACATTTCCACGCGATAAGCCACCTTCGTTGAGCTATCATTTGCAATGGCCAGGTCACTTCTGACAAAAAATCGAATAGCTCGGTGGGCCTTACCCTGGTGAAATAAAAAAAATAGTTTAGTCGAGTCCACGATTCTCGCGTCACGCATCCCCTTCCCTTCCCTGCCCGTGACGGGGCTCGCCGCCGCTGTCCGGTGCGTTGTAGGGGCAGGCGATGTTGCGGGCTCGGCGGACGCGGTTTTGCCGGTCGTGGTGGCTCTGGCGTTGGTCGGCGCCCTGCTGTCGGCCTGCGTCTTCCTGCGACTCCGGCGTGCCAAACACCCCAGGTGAGGACGAGGGCCGGGATGAGACGCGTGCTCGGCACGCCGTTGTCAATCCACTGCTGGATGGACATGAGCCTCCCCAAGTTCTTTCAGGCAGTGGGAGTTATCCGGCTGGAATTTTGCCGTGGCCTGTCAGTGTGCAGGTTCATGAAGGCGGGGTACGTGCAGCACATGCAGGGTGCTTCAAAACAAATGTTAACACTTACATGGGAATATCGTTTTTAATGGGAAAAGATCGGATAATAATACATTGTAACGTGATAACAAATGTATGTTAATAGCTTCAAAAAGTCAAAGAGTCTCCGACTGTTCGCCATCGTTGGCAACACGTGGCCAGGAATCTTCTCCTGGTGACCTCCAAAGCCCGGAGGCGGCAGCACATGCCACGTGGTATTGTTGCAAATTCTTAGAAGTGTTAAAAATAATGTTGAAGCACCCTGTATATATTGCAATACGTCGATTTACGTCTTCCCCCTTGTACGTCGTTTCGCAAGTACGTCGTCACCTTCATAACACCGCTACCCGATTAGCGTCGTCTCAACCTCACACACAATTACGCCGCTGACGGCATCGTTCGCTCCTTTCTCGTTGTCCCGTCGTCTCTCAGCCCTTCGCCTCCACCATCAGCTACCGCTGTAAGTCGCTCTGATTGACGTCGTTTCGATATCCGTCGTCGTCGCACCTTTCAGGAACGATTCCCCGACGTAAACCGGGGTGTTGCTGGATCAGCAAAAAACAGAGAATGGTTTGTGATGATATCAATGACGGTCCGATTAAAGATGATTCATTGTAGAGTTAAAAGATTTGCGTAGTATTGATAAAATCATCCGGAGTTACCACTAGATTTAGCCATGGCTGGGACGAACTCGCGTTGCACTTTAGGCGAGACCAATATTCCAAATGCTGCGCTCTACACCCCCGGTGATTCGCGTGCTTAGCGCGAGCAATATTTATCATAAATATACCATTACAAATGATACTTAGGTAAGAACTCAGTTGCCGCATTAATACAAATATATTTAATCTGAAATTGCATTTGTATGTAAATCAGTTATTATTATAATTGCTTCGTGAAAACTGATTAGATTCGCGATGTAAAAAAACATATCATGAATATTATTCAACTCCCTCCATTTTATTGATGATAAGCTGTGCTGTGTTTGTATTACGTGATGTGTTTATTAAATACAGTACTGACCTTTTTTCTGCTTGTCACCGTGTCTGGCTATCTTTCCGCCTGTATCTCTCGGTGTTCCTCTCTGTCTGTCCGTCCATCTGCCCGTTGTGCCACCAAGTACATTAATACTCCCCCCCCCCCCCACCATCTTTTTCCAGGGGCTATGGCTCTGGCTCAGCAGTGACCTTATCTGTGGCCAACGGAGACGGAAAGCTACCCTTTACAAAGTGGGTGATGCCTCGTTTTTGGCGCTGTTATGCAATTTGCGTGATGACACCGCGAGCGGCGATCGATTGGTAAAGATGCGCTGTGAAGATGCGCTCAAAACAAATGCGGTGATGAGCAAAAAAAAAAAGCCAAGTAAAAATTAAACTGATCGAATTGTGGTTGATGTGTTTAGCTTGTTTGTTTTACTCTCCCGGTCCCACACGTCCACAGCGGCGGTGACTCGGCCCAGGGGCACAGCGTACGCCGCTCGTTGCAGGGGTTTCACGGTTAGAACTCCATTGGCCGCGCTGGCTATTACCGCAGTGTGTAGTTACCGTGGTAATGCTGCGCACCATCCACTTCAAATTGGACGTTAAAGATCCCCCCACCCCGCCCCGCCCACCGTGACAGAGTTCGCAAGAGCAGGCCATTGCGTGCCTGCGTCAGGGGTCCAAGTTAGACATGTTCCCCCGCAAAGTTCGACAAAATCAACTTGAACGACAATCTCTCCGAGAAATAGTTTACCACGTAGGCTTTCGCGACCAATATAATTCATAATAAAGGTTTTTGGGTTAGATCGCGTTATTTATAAATGTGTCGTAACCCTCCACCACCCGACACGGCCAATCAGCAAAAAAAGTGTCACGTTGACAAAAGACAATTTTATTCACTATTTTAGCCCACCGGTGTGTTGAAGAGTGAATCCACAACATTTACAGTTTGAGTACGACGTTTCGCTGGTAAATACATCCAGCATCATCGGGCAATTCGCCAGAATGGTAAAGCCCTCGCTTGCTCCCGGTTTTATATAGAGCAGCAGTGTGACGTCATCCTTTAACTCATTTCAGGTGCAGTGATTAGAGGCGGAGGGGGGGTATTGTAATTATATAATCGATTAGTAGTCAGTCGATGGTTATGATTAGTAATGAGTTGTAGATTAGTAATTAGTTGTAATGTGTTAGTGATTATATGCTATGTTAGTAATCCGTTAATTAGTATGTGTTTCCCCTATAAGGAATTGTAATGTGCATTCATATTCCTAGCTCCCTGGGCAATACTTTAGAAAGCAAAGCGCAACGCAAAACAAAACGGCTCTTCTCTCGTAGACGCACACCTTGGCTGCGTGCTCTGGGCTGTCCAACACGAGTGTGATCCTCCGTTAATGACAAAATATAATTGACATTTACTCTCTCGGCAAACACGGAACGTCGGGACAACGTTGCACGTTTACTGTGAGGAGTGTTTAGCATATCCCGTCCGAGTGACATTGTTGCGGTGTGACTGCTGTTGGAACTTGATCTATGTCTACGTAATGGGCAGCGGAGGGCGGTGCGGAAAAATGCATTGTTGTGCTGTACTTCTACGCGCCCAAATCTATGTTCTCCACCGCCACCAACACGCACTGACCAGCATGGTGCAGTTTTACGCCCCCCGCCACGACCCGAACGGCATGGGGTAAGCGCCGATCCAGTCGTAGAATGATCACAGTGCCGTACGTGCGCATGTACATTATAGCTCGCAGCGCATTGTGGGAGCCAGTCTTACAGCTACACCACAAAACATAGCGCATTGTGGGAGCCAGTAGTACAGCTACACCACAAAACATAGCGCATTGTGGGAGTGGGTCTTGTCAAACTAATGGAGATCAGCGCCTCCGTGTGAATACAAAATAAACCAATGGATGCCGCTCAGCCCGAGAGGCGACTACCCAGTAAACTAGCAACGTTGGCATGTGCTTGGAACCATTGGACGAACGTTGGCCCGACGTTCCATGTTTACTTTGTCGACGGACTTCCAGATGTGAATTGGTAATTTGACACAATCAAATAGAAGCTATCGCATTGCCATGGGTTCGTGTTTTGCTTTCACAGTAAATTACAGTCAACTCTCAAATCATCATAGGTGACGTCGGGTTATGGATGGCCCCAGGAAAATAAATGCACGCATAAAGCAAGGCGCTTACACACGGCCATAGAAAGAAGCAATTTCTCTTGTTGACCGACTGGCAATATGGGGTGAAGTAACAGAATGTGTCGTCCATATGCATCACTTCTTGAAGTACCCGCTTTCATTAGCAACACGCTTTTGGTCATGATGGTGCCGAGCCATCGACCCTGGACGAGCGAGGAGCGGGTCTCGTAAATCTGACGGAGACGCTTAAAGGCCCGCGCCTCTCTCGCCCGGCTTCCGAGCGTCGCGGCTCTTGGTTCCGCGCCTCGAGTCACGGACATTGACGCCTGCGAAATACTGCGCGTGTTACACATCATCATCATCACCATCAAACCATAATACTGTGCGTGTTACACATCATCATCATCACCATCAAACCATAATACTGTGCGCGTTACACATCATCATCATAGTCAAACTATAATACTGTGCGCGTTACACATCATCATCATAGTCAAACCATAATACTGTGCGCGTTACACATCATCATCAAACCATAATACTGCGCGTGTTACACATCATCATCATCACCATCAAACCATAATACTGTGCGTGTTACACATCATCATCATCATAGTCAAACCATAATACTGTGCGCGTTACACATCATCATCATCACCATCAAACCATAATACTGTGCGCGTTACACATCATCATCATCATCAAACCATAATACTGCGCATGTTACACATCATCATCATCACCATCAAACCAAAATCCTGCGCGTGTTACACATCATCCAGCCGAAATACTGCGCTCGTTACACATTGCATCACCATCAAACATAAATTCTGCGCGTGTTCCACATTGCATCACCATCAAACCAGGGTGAACGTAAAAGGCGTGGACAAGCGCGGATAGGGTGCCACGGTGCCCAGATGTAACAAAAAATATCTAATACCTCAGTGGGCTTTACCTGGTAAGATAAAACGTTTATATTTTATTTTCTATATTTTTTATCATTTTCTTGCCTTTTCTATACTTTGCACTCCTATCATGTTTTGTACTGTTAAAAAGAGCTGTATAGCTCATCCGATTCCTCCAGTATAAATGCATATTCTGTTTCTGAATACCTCGCCTGGAATACAGGTTGTGGGTTCAATTCCGACCCTGACGATGCCTGTATATTTGGAGTTTGCATGTCTCTCTCCCCGTGGTCATGTGGATTTTTCTCCGGGACCTCTGGTTTTCCCCTCCACAATTAGAATCAACAACATCATGCGTTTTAGCGTTTTTGGCTGCTATACATTTCCACATGCTAAGCCACTTTGTTGAGCTATCATTTGTGGCCAGGTCACCTTTGAAAACGAGCTATAGAGCTCAGTGGGCCTTACCTGGCAAAAAAAAGAAAATAGTTAGGATAATTGTGCGCGGTCGTGCGTTGCTATAAACGTATCAGGAAAAACGCGCGTCACGATTCCTTTCTATCGCTGTCTCTTTCTCGTTTATTCCACTCCGCCCCCCACTCCACAGAGGCAGGAGCTTTGGGAGGCGAAAAAAGCACAAACAGTAAGTAGTGGCGGCGCGCGGATGAGACCTCGCCGAGACACGAGACTTACATCACCGCACCATCGCCGACAATCTCTCTCAACGGCGTCTATTCTTAGGCGGGGGAAGTCAGGTTATTGCCGCTGTAAAGGAGCGCCGGACTCACTTCTCGCATCTACCGGAGTTACGCCCATCAGGGGGAGGCTACAGCCCTGTTGAGAAGTTATTATTGTTCTTGCGTTTCGCCTTCTCCTTTTGTGTGGCTCATGTCGATGTAGAGCAACAACTGCAATTTAACATGCAGGTGGTCTAAGCCAGTTAACCGCGTCAGGAGCAGTAGCGCAGTGTATCGCCGTGATGTCTCCTTCGTATTTATCAATCGGGCATCGCGTCGTTATACGTTGCACGGTCTGTTCTGGATGCCCACAGTCGCACACTGCTGGAGACTTTTTCATTTCCCATTTGTGCATTGTGCCCGTTCACCCAGAAAAGCCTCACTCAGCCTCGTGGCTCTTTTTTGCGAGGGTCCTGCCAAAGTTTTCACAGCAGGGACCCCGTCGATGATCGCTCTGTATCGCTCCCAGATGAGCAACTGGCGGTGTAATTTTTCACAGTGGCAAACTTCGCACCGTGATGTTTTGGCACGCAACGGCCCGCCCTCGAGGGTGTTAACCAGGGCGGCCGCTGGATTCGAAGCGTGAGTCTCTTGCGGCTCGCGGATGACTCCCGGGGCGCGACACCGTTGACCGACGCTGGGTGCGGTGGCTGCTATGGGACGTGGGCGCCTTTTAGTTAAGCGAAAACGAAAAAAAAAACGTTGATCAAAAAATAGACGCAATGTTTTTTTGTTGCCGACTTTTTTTCTCACACGGCTGCCAGCAAAAACTACAAAAGCATGCAATGCCTTAAATACGTGTAACCGATTTGGGGAGTGCTTCCGGAGATCTGGATTCAGGAAAATGAAAAGCGACAAGCCGATGTGCCTGAAGGGGGTGGTGGGGGGGGGGGAGGTTTTTAATTTGGTGCGCATTGCCCGCTCCAGCGTGTCGATCAGAATCGTGGATGCAGACAGAGAAAATGGAACATAAGGTGAATAAAGGAGAGCTTGCGAAGACGCATTGGAGAGGTGCATGCTAAACGTTAGGCCGAGAGACAGAGAGAGGAACGCATGGATTGGAGAAACTAACAAACGGTAGAAAGACGTAACATTGACTCACTAAGGAAAGCAAGCGGGATTCGGCAGGACACGTCCATCGTAGGGGCCGTGGCTGGCGGTCGAGACTTAGGACAGAGTGGCAGCCAAAGGTGGGAACACCCTCGAGAGAAGACGTCCATTGCGGAGATGGAGCGATGTAAACAAATATTGTGCATGAGATGGATGGATTGTTGCATCGCAGGACTGTTAGGGACGGGCACTGCTTGGGAAGGCCTTCATCCAGCAGTGGATTGATCATGGCCGTTGATGATGGTGCTGATAGTACGTTGGAAAGACGGAGCAGTTACTTGCTCAACCAAGTGTGGAGTGGTAATAATAATAATAATTTATAAAGCGCCCTTAAACAATCGTTCTCAGGGCCAATCTCATGTGACCATTTCGCCTTTATAAACGGAACATTGTCGGCCAGCCACAGCCATGTGAATGTGGCCATGCAACCTCAACTACGATCCCTATAATGAACCACTGTAGCCTGTGCTCTTTTAATGGAGGAAGAATAGTAACACTACACGAACTTTCGATCCTGATGCCATCTCATGGCCAGCAAAACCTCGACATCGGCATTGAGCTGATGAACATTTGGCTGCCATCGTGCGTAAGCATAGAATGCAATCTCACGTGTGCGAGCAGGAGCCAATGCAGCAACATTTAAACAATCCCATGGCAGGGGTGACTGTGGACAGAATAACCTTTGTTGCCTTCCCACAATGTTGGTACTTTATCAACACCAGGGGAGTGACATTGACCCGGAACTGGGGAAGGAAACGGATGACCTTTCGATGTGAACATTACGCTCCGTGTAACTCTTCACACAACGTCTCATTGGTAGCGGGTTGTTGTCGCTGCTGCTTCTGCTGAGAGTTTGCCTTGCGTCTCTTCCCCCACGCGCGCCCGTCCACGTGTGAGATGAAAGAGGGGCTTTTTATCAAAGTCGACTTTCCCGACCAATATTATCCATGAGAGGTTTTTTTTGGGGGGGGGGGGGTTAGATCCCGTAAATATAAACGTGTCGTTAAACCCGTCACCACCCGACAGACACAGCCGATTAGTAAAGGTTTGTCACATAAACAGAACGTGCCAATTCGTTACTGGTACAGCACACCGGTGTGTTGGAGAGTAAACCCACAACAATTACAATGTGAGTCGTCAAATTGTTTAACGACATATTTGTATTTGCGTGGTCTAGTCCCAAAAAAACCCCCTCTATTATAGGGGCTTTTATTTTGAAATATTTGTAGTTTTGTGAAAGGGGAGGGGTGTGGGGTGTTTTTTTTAATTCACCACTTGGGCCTTTAAGATGGGGCACTTTAAACAGAGCACTGCACGCGCAAGTCTCAGAACCTCACCAGGTTTGCGCTCGAATTGTGCTCGGATGGGCGACCACTACGCATGGCAGGTGCTGTAGGTTTACAGCCTGCATGGTGGAAAACAGCAGATGGCAGCGCAACTACATTCCATTGTTTTACACCGCTCCCACATCTACATATAGAGAAACCACAGACTCGCCGGGATAAGAGATGGAGCGGTGGCGAATCTTGCGACCCCGAGTTCTACGGCCGCCCACCTTTACCGACCTGCAGTAACCAGCGTAGTTGAATCATGGTCAAGTAACCCCAACCCCCCCACCCCGTCGTGGGGAGGCCCTCATCCAGCAGCGGATCGGCAGGAGGGGGCCGTGCACACGCGCAGACGGCACCTTGCGCGCGTCTCTGCGCGCTGCTTGGGGGTGCGCTGTCTCACATCGTCTCTCCTTGCAGCCCAGTTCCCATGTCCGAGTTCGGGCAGAACGTCCTCGCCATGTCTCGCGACTCGGGCTACAAGTTCACCGTGGAGTTTGAGGTGGGGGTCCTGACACGGCTTCGTTTCTTTCTCACCAGTTGCCCCGCGGGCGGTCACCGCTAGACTGGAGGAGGAGGTGGCGGTGCACGACTCCGAGTAGCCGCACTCATAGCGAGAGAGCTGTTCGGGATTGTGGTGTGGGTTGGCTGCGGAAAAAAATGTTTAATGGTTGCTGGCCCAGACAGATCCTCCTTATAACTCTTCTATCGCTACTAGCGTAGTTTATCTTCCAGTGCAATTTACTGTAAACTAAACTTACTTTTTTTTTGTTACCAGGTAAGGCCTCCTGAGCTATACAGTTATTTTTCAGTTATGACTTGGCCACAAATAAAGCTCAACAAAGTGGCTTATCGCGTGGAAATCTATCGCAGCCAAATAATCTGAACGCATGTTTCTAAATGTGGAGGGAAAAATCCACAAAGCCACGGGGCGAATATGCAAACTCTAAATATACAGCAGGCGTCACGGTTGTGATCGAACCCACGACCTCCTGTATACCAGGCGAGGGAGTTAACAGCTCGCTGATTCCTTCACCCATGACGAGGACTCGCTCTACCAGACTGTTTCGTTAACATCCACAGCGTGTCCAGCCGTCACGCTACAGGTCACAACAACACACTCACTCACCCACTCATCCACCCACCTACCCACTCACTCACCACACTGCAGGCCACGACGCCTCTCTTTCTGCTTCTTCCCTCACGGTGCTCCACTTTGGAATTCCCTCCCATCGTCTGCCCCCCCCCCCCCCATAAAAAAAGCTCTTACCACAATAAGCCCGCTCAGTTCATGAAACGCGTTCCGCTCTTTATCCGTTACAGCTTTAAAACGGTGCCGTTTGTTGCTGGCCGCTTGGCGTGTCTTGGCCTTCGGACCCGTGCTGAGCGACCGGCGATAGCGAGAGCGAAAGAAAAAAATAACAACGCCACCCCCATGTGTCCCCAGCTGAAATGAAGCCCTGGGGGCTTGTGTTGTTGACAGAATCGCCCCGATTGGGCAAGTAGACCCCATCGTGTCAGCCACCCGCTGGCAGGCAAATTGTGTATCCAGAGGCCAGACAGGTCCCCCCGCCCACAACCCCCCAGTTAACCTTGCCGCAAATCTGTTGAGAGCCAGCAAGGGCAACTGTCCACCCACAAACCAGAGCTTCCAGACCGTGAGTCATTCGTCCAGTCGCCAATTAAAAACAATCCCATCCGCCCGCCCGTCCCCCCCAAGTAAGAATAATAAACAAGGTTATAATAGACACATTGATACCGTGGCCGTTATCATACGGCATGGCTGGTGGCAGTGGTAAAGCCCGCGCCTCACGGCAGGAAGGGCCTAGGTTCGATGGCGAACACGGGAAACTTACTGTGTGGAGTTTGTTTTGTTCTCTCCCTGTCCTGCAGGGTTCTCTGGTTTCCTCTCACAGCAAACTTCCACCACCACCCGCCCCCCCCCCCCCCAAATAATCTAACTGGTTTTGACTTAACATGCCAATGCTGACAAATAACCTTAAAATGATTACATTTGGATTACATTTTCATACAGATCACACTCAAATATGATTATTCATGAAGGATTCAATCTTTGACCACACTTCCTCTTCTCACAAGTCTGACGTATACGTATTTCAGATGGTATTATACTTCACGCAAATATTAATCGAGCAGGATTCAACCATTTACGAGGGTTCAATCATTTACACCTCTCGCACAAACTCTACGCAAGTCGTAAGCGACCGTTGCCCTTTAGCCCGCGGAGTGGACGAGACCGGCCAAAAGAGACGACCAACCACGAACAATGCACAACGCGACGGAGGCCCAAGATAATAGATCTTAAATTTTGACTTAAAACTTCGTATCCAATCCGAATAGTGAAGCCCGCAACGGTGGCTAGGCGAAGCGTTGACACTCTTGCTCCGGGATCAGGTGACGACCTGGGCTACAACAACACCTGTCCGCCCACGTCACGACTGGGCAATCTCGTGGGGGGCAGTGGCTTTGCCCCTCCGCCACAACTGCCCCCCCCCCTCTCCAGAGATCCCCCCTGCCATGGCGAACGCACACGCGTGTGTTTGCGTGCGTGCACGAGGGTTTGAAAACAAAAAGAGTGGTGGGAACAGTAGTTGTCGCACTTGCGCTACGAACCTGGTTCCCCCAATACATTCTGAGGGCCTGCTGCTAGTATCTACGGCAAGTGATGTTTGAGCCGGTGCCTGGGAATCTCCTAGGCCGACTCAGCCTCAAATTAGTACCTGGTGCGGTGTGTAAATATCGGCACTCGAGGGAGGACGTTCGCCCGGCTATGAATTGTGCTGGCCACATCATCCTGTCATGTGGCATTCCCAGCCTTAACAGGTGCTCGCAAACAGAACTTACCCCGAGCGACTATAAAGTCGACAGAAGGGCACCTCTAAAGTTGTGGTGTATTTGGTTAAGCGGGTGAGAACTCAAAGAGACGAGGATAGTCTCACAAGCGAGAGTGACCTGGCTCGCCAACATGCAAGCACAGCAGTGAAGCGAAGTCGTAGCTAAAAAAAATACAAACAGCCATATCCCATTTTAAAACGTAACGTTGAATAATAAATTCCCTGCAGCGCACACGGTGACTCGGGCACATTAGTATGAGACTGACCAGAGTACAATTCACGGAGCAACACTGCACGGGAAACGGGTGACGAATGGCGCTAATAAACTCTGCGTGTGGATTCCGCAGGAGCTGCGGATGATAGGAGCGGAATTTTCGCACGAAGCAGCGGACCACTTGGCCAATCGCGGAAAGAATCGCTACACCAACATCCTGCCGTGTGAGTCGCTCACGCACGAGGCGTGCCGAGGGACGCCGATTAGCCCGTCGTGTCTGCGAAGCCGATAAAATAATATCGTTAGAGTTGTTATTATTTAATCTTGATTTGAAGCTTTCGGTAAAGTCACGTGGGTATAAAATAAATCACGACGTTTCGGGCGCAACACAAGCGACCGTCATCAGGTGGGAAAGCCAATGTATTCAGCGCCGTAACATGGCAGGGATGCCGAACAAATGACGATGACATTACACGCGACATCACCCCACTCGATTTAAGACCGGAAACAGGAAGACTTCTTCACAATTCTGACAAATCGCCTGATGAAGCTGGTTGTAATCACCGGCGAAAAGTCGTACTCAAATTGTTAACGTTGTGGGTTTACTCTCAAACACACCAGTCAGGGTTGGGATCGAACCCACTACCGCTTGCATACCAGGCGAGGTCGTTAACATCTCATCACCGTGGCGTCATTGACAAATGAACCTTATTGTGGGACCCCGGGGTCCCGAATAAACGGAAGTCAAAATCGTAATTAATACAAAAAAAATTGGCGACTACGTCCCACCGCGCAAATCAATCCTCTCGTTCTTCACCAAGCACCCTGGGTCGTTGCCAAAATTGCCGTAGTCATAAACAAAACTTTGATTAGCGCATCGTGTAGAGCTCGTCGAGCGGAACAGATCGCCGTATCGTTCGCCTTCAACAGACATGAAATGACGTCGCAACGCAGTTTATGCGAGTGTCCGGGGGGAGCTTATGGGACCCCGGGGTCCCGCCATAAGGTTTAATTGTGTTGAGTTTTTAGTTACTTGAGCTCGCAGCAGCAGCAGCAGCGTCACCGAGTAATCCGTTTAATTTTAGTCTACGAGACGACCCTTTGAGTCACCCTGGCCGCCACTGTCACCTGCAGATGACTTCAGCCGCGTCATCCTGTCCAGCATCGAGGGCGAGGAGGGGTCCGACTACATCAACGCCAACTACATCCCCGTAGGTGCCACGCAGCCTCTCGGCTATCGAGTGTGCAGGCCGTGCAACCGCACACCGGGGCCCACGGGCGGGGTCGGAGGGGCCCTGATGCCGGCCTACGAAGAGAGGAGACATTGGACAGGGGAAGGGGGTCCCGGTGGGGGGGGGGGCCCGTTTCATTGCTTACATCGGGGCCCATTCCAACCATGCTAGGCCAGGCCACTGGCCCGGCTGATGCTCTATTTGAATACCAGAGAGCAGGATGACGGACAGGATTGATGTGACACTTGCGTGACACTCACCTGACCCTCTTCAGACATCGCCCCCACATTCACCCGAGCCGGAGTAAACGATATCTGGAGGCACACACACCGCACACCACAGTGCACACCATATCACACACACCGCATCACACACACCGCACACCGCATCACACACACCGCATCACACACACCGCACACCGCATCACACACACCGCACACCGCATCACACACACCGCACACTGCATCACACACACCGCATCACACACACCGCACAACACACACACCGCACACCGCATCACACACACCGCATCACACACAACGCACACCGCATCACACACACCGCATCACACACACCGCACAACACATCACACACACCGCACACCGCATCACACACACCGCACACCGCATCACACACACACCGCATCACACACACCGCACAACACATCACACACAACGCACAACACATCACACAATGCACAACACATCACACACACCGCACACCGCATCACACAATGCACAACACATCACGCACACCGCACACCGCACACCGCACCGCACACCGCACGCCGCGTGCCGCACCCCAGGGCCACCGCTCCCCCAAGGAGTACATCGCGGCGCAGGGCCCCCTACCCAGCACGTGCGACGACTTCTGGCGCATGGTGTGGGAGCAGAACTCGCGCGTCGTCGTGATGCTCACGCAGTGCGTGGAGAGAGGACGGGTGAGCCCACGCGCGGTACACCGCACACGAGACACTCGCTCGCTCACGAGTGATCCCACGCAGGACACTAGACGCTCGTGGCGCTCAATCGCTTGCCCATTTGTCCCGTCGCTTGAGCGTTCATCCTCTCGATCGTTCGCTCGCGAACGAACTGGCCATGGCATCGCAGTGCGGCAGGGAACGACGAGAGCGATGAGGCGGATTTGCGCAACGAGCGTCCCTGCGGGTCGGCTCATGTCCGTGGCTCCGCCCGCAGATCAAGTGCGAGCACTACTGGCCGTTCGACGAGGAGGTGGTGGACTACCGCGGCTTCGTCGTGCGCCGCATCTCCGAGTCGGCGCTCGCCGAATGGACCGTGCGCGAGTTCCAGATCGGCCGGGTACGGCGCAGCCGATGCCCTCCCTCGCACGCGTCGGCGGTGGTGGTGATGCTTGCGACGGTGATGATGGTGGTGGAAATGGTGGTGGTGGAGGTGATATATATATGATGGTAATGGTGGTGATGATGACCGTTGGTGGTGGCGATCATGGCGATTAGGATGGTTGGCTGCGTACGGTGCAAAAGAAGTTCAACGTACATATAGTACGTACATGATGGTGGTGATGGTCGTCAATTTGGTGGTGGTGGCGACGGTGATGGTAGCGACCGTGGTAGTCCATGGAGGTGTTGGTGATGTTGGTGATGGTAATGGATGATGTGGTGGTTCTGCTAGCGGCAGTGGCAATGGCGATGAACGATAATCACACCTACGGCAGCAGCAGCAGCAGTAGCAGCGACAACAGCGTTGGCGCGTTGACATTGATCAATGACGACGGACGGGACGACTGCGCTAACGACGATTGTGCGGTGGCAGGGCGGGGAGACGCGCGTGGTGCGGCAGTTCCACTACACGGCGTGGCCCGACCACGACGTGCCGAGCGAGAGCTGCACGAGGCGCGTGCTCGAATTTGTGCGCACCGTGCGTTGCCACGTGACGCCGGGCTCCGCGCCGATCGTCGTTCATTGCAGGTAACTGTCGCGGCACCGCTCGCTAGCTCGCTCGCGCTGCGAACTACTTTTTGCTTATTTGCAGGGTAGATTTGAAGTTTTCGCGACTGCGGGGATCCATGTTCTTTTTGTTATTTCGGTAAAGTCACGTAGGTATACATTCCGATTTAAAGCTTTCGTGACTGCAAGGATTCATCTTCTTTGGTTCTTTCGGTAAAGTCACGTAGAATGAAAATGACAGCTCTGTCGTCCCGACAGTTTTTTGTTCCTTCACCTGAAGAAGGCCACTTGTGTTGTGGCCGAAACGTCGTGAGAATTGTATTGTATTGTTTTATTTTATTCTCATTCTACGTGACTTTACCGAAAGAACCAAAGAAGATCACGTAGATATAATAAAATAAAATTTAATCACGACGTTTCGGGCGCAACACAAGCGTCCGTCATCAGGTGGGACAACCACAGCAAGAAACAATTGCTGAAGTGGGCAGAATTTATTTTATTTTTTATACCTACGTGACTTTACCGAAAGAACCAAAGAGTATATATTTGCAGGGTGTTTAAAAGAGATGGACCCAATTTCAAAGCAGTACATTTCACGATGGCAACATGTTATAATTGCACAAAAATGTGCAAACGGTTTAATGAGTTATTAAGTTTTACTAACCATTTTATAAATGCTCTATGTGCCCTCCACCTGCTGTACGGACAACATCGAGACGATAGTTGAATTCGTCCCAAACACCTCTCAAAATGTCTTCTTCCACTGAAGTCACCACTGCCGTGATTCTGTTTTTGAGGTCATCCAGATTAGTCGCTAATGGTGGCACAAAAATACCACGGTCTTTGACGTATCCCCACAAAAAAGTCGCAGGGTGTGATATCTGGGGATCTTGGGGGCCAAGATTGTAGCGCCAAGCCTTGGTGTCCCGTGCGACCTATCCAATGTTGAGGCAGTGTTGTCTTGCGAATGACTGAGGCTAGGGGCTGTTTGTGCGTTGGAAGAGGCATCTCGCGGTAATAATTCGAAACTCTATGCTCCGCCCTTTCAAGTGGTAAGAGTTTCATTGATGGGCGGTTCGTGGTTGCAGAGATATAGCGATTTCAAATCGGGTCCATCTTTTAAAACACCCTGTATTTTAACAGGTGCAAGGCTCCCGAAGCGACCTGGCCATCACAAATGATAGCTCATCATCACGTGGAGGTTTATCGCAGACCAAATGCTCCAAACGTGTGACGTCGATTCTAAATGTAGAGGGAAAAACCGAAGGACCCGGAGAAAAATCCACGAGACCACGGGCAGAGAGACACGCAAACTCCAAATATAGAGGCGTGAGGGTTGAGATCGAACCCACGAGCTCCTGCATACCAGGCGAGGTAGTTAACATCTCGCCACCGTGACTCAGGATGGGGTCGGGGGAGGGAAGCTGCTGGCCGATTGGGTACCCTGAGCAAAAAATATTTTTGACGGCCCCCCCCCCTTCTTGGCTTCTAGATTACGCATCGTACTGCAGTCCCTCCGCGTGCTGCCTGTGCAGTCCCAGATCACCGTCTCCAAGATCCTTCGAGGACTCGCTTCTGCCTGCCTCTCATCTCACTCGCCTGCCTCTCCCCTCTCATCTCACTCTACTCCCCTCCACGCACTCTCCTGCCTCTCCCCTCTCATCTCACTCTACTCCCCTCCACGCACTCTCCTACCTCTCCCCTCTCATCTCACTCTGCTCCCCTCCACGAACTCTCCTGCCTCTCCCCTCTCATCTCACTCTACTCCCCTCCACGCACTCTCCTACCTCTCCCCTCTCATCTCACTCCACTCCGCTCCACGCACTCTCCTACCTCTCCCCTCTCATCTCACTCTACGCCCCTCCACGCACTCTCCTACCTCTCCCTTCTCATCTCACTCTACTCCCCTCCACGCACTCTCCTACCTCTCCCCTCTCATCTCACTCTACTCCCCTCCACGCACTCTCCTACCTCTCCCCTCTCATCTCACTCTACTCCTCTCCACACACTCTCCCCTCTCATCTCACTCTACTCCCCTCCACGCACTCTCCTACCTCTCCCCTCTCATCTCACTCTGCTCCCCTCCACACACTCTCCTACCTCTCATCTCACTCTACTCTTCTCCACGTACTCTCCTACCTATCCACTTTCATCTTACTCTATTACCCTACACTTTCACTACTCCAGCAACAAACAACTTTTGTTGAAGCCCCCAGTCAACCATCACTCGGTGGGAGGTCGCTCCTTTTCCTGTGCTGCCTTCATGATCTGAGACTTCATATCATTCGGGGTGATTTGGTCTTAACAGGTATTGCCATCTCTGTGCCACCCTGAATGTTGGATTTTTAAATCCATTTACCTCTTCAAAGTTTCATCCCAATATTATTTTAATCGCGCTGCATTGATCTCGTTGATCGCTCCGTGCCGATCGCTCCATGTCGACCTCGCTGCATTGATCTGTTTGTGTTGACCGCTCCACTTTGACCTTGCTGTGTTGGGTGCTCTGTGGCGAATGCTGCATGCCGACCGCTCCATGTTGACCACTCCACGTTGACCGCTCCATGTTGACCACTCCACGTTGACCGCTCCATGTTGACCACTCCACGTTGACCACTCCGTATTGACCGCTCCATGTTGACCACTCCACGTTGACCACTCCGTGTTGACCGCTCCATGTTGACCACTCCACGTTGACCGCTCCATGTTGACCACTCCACGTTGACCGCTCCATGTTGACCACTCCACGTTGACCACTCCGCGTTGATCGCTCCATGTTGACCACTCCGCGTTGACCGCTCCATGTTGACCGCTCTGTGTTGACCGCTCCATGTTGACCACTCTATGTTGACCGTTCCTTGTTGATCGCTGCATATTGATCTCGTCGTGTTGACCACTCCATGTTGACCACTCCGCGTTGACCGCTCCATGTTGACCGCTCTGTGTTGACCGCTCCATGTTGACCACTCTATGTTGACCGTTCCTTGTTGATCGCTGCGTATTGATCTCGTCGTGTTGACCACTCCATGTTGACCACTCCGTGTTGACCACTCCATGTTGACCACTCCATGTTGACCACTCCATGTTGACCGCTCCATGTTGACCACTCCGCGTTGATCACCCCATGTTGACCGCTCCATGTTGACCACTCCGCGTTGACCACCCCATGTTGACCGCTCTGTGTTGACCGCTCCATGTTGACCGCTCCATGTTGACCGTTCCATGCTGACCGTTCCTTGTTGATCGCTGCGTATTGATCTCGTCGTGTTGACCACTCCATGTTGACCACTCATGTTGACCACTCCGTGTTGACCACTCCATGTTAACCACTCTGTGTTGACCGCTCCGCGTTGACCACTCCATGTTGAACCGCTCCGCGTTGACCACTCCGCGTTGACCACTCCATGTTGACCGCTCCATGTTGTCCACTCTATGCTCATTGCCCCGTGTTGACCACCCCGTGTTGACCACCCCATGTTGACCACTCCGCGTTGACCACTCCATGCTGACCGCTTCGTGTTGACCACCCCATGTTGACCATCCCTTTGTTGACCATCGCTTCTCGACCATCGTCGCAGCGCGGGCGTGGGTCGCACGGGGACGTTCATCGCTCTGGATCGGCTCATCCAGCACCTGCAGGAGCTCGACTTTGTGGACATTCTGGGCCTGGTGGCCGAGCTGCGACTCCACCGCGCGAGCATGGTGCAGACAGAGGCAAGGAACCCGCAGTAACATCACCACCGTCACTGTCACTAGCGTCTTCACGGTACGGCGCACGCATCATCGCAGTAGACGTCGGTGCCATCGGCAATGTCATCTTCGTCGTTGTCATCATTGCCATGCCATCGTCGTCACTGTTATCTTTGTCGTCTTCATCAATGCCAATTTTATCACCACCACCACCACCATCATCACTGTTATCATTAATGTAAACATTATCAGTGTCTTTGTGTCTGTGTGACTATTCATATGTATATGTGTGTATCAGCGGTGCTTGCTAATAGCACTTACCCCAAAATTCAGTTTAGGCTATATGGGGGAATCTTTGTCTTTGCCTGTGTACGGGTGGCTAATGCATGGTAAGTTGGCACAGTGGAGAGTGCAGGTGGTGCATCTGCCAATCATCTCAATCGGTCAACCCATAACACCTGGGTCTATCCTGTGACCTGGCAGCAGAAAACCTGCCACACGTCAAGCGATGTCATCAAAGTGCATCTGGCCTACCACAAGCGCCACTTAATGGCGAATGGCGGCTGCTGTTGTGTGCACTTGATTGTGTGTGCTCATGAGTATGTGTGTTTGTGTGCAAGCCCCATGCATGCATATTTACGTGTTCCTGCGCGTCTGTATATCGGTGGTGCTGGCCAACCACCCCATCGTGTACCGTGTCGGCCTTCAAAGGTGCTCGCTAACAGCACTTGACCCAAAAGCCTGTTGAAGCTTAAAGGCTTAGAAGGGGACATTTATCTTTCTGTATCCATGTGTCTGTTCATGTGTGTGTCCCTGGCGGGGAGCGGTGGTGCAGCGGCTAGCGTGCGGTGCTACGAACCCGGTGACCCTAGTAGGATTCCCGCTCAAGGCACAACACCGGTGACGATTATCTAAACCGGTCCTGGGTCTCCCCTAGGTCGACTCAGCCTCAAATGAGTACCCGGTGCGAATGCGTAAACATCGCCACTGGGGAGATAAAGGCGGTCGGTGATGGGTGCTGGCCACCCACCCCCTCGTTCGCTGTTCTGGCCTTGATAGGCGCTACTCGCTAACATCGCTTGCCCCAACAGTCTGATGAAGGCTATACGGGGGATCTTTGTCTCTTGTCGTTACATGGCAGGTGCAGTACGTGTTCATCCACCTGTGCGTGCTGGAGATGTGGAGGCAGTCGGGCCAGGCGAGCGGGCTGAGCGAGGCCGTGTACGAGAACGTTCGCTCGGGCGCGCTGCTTCACCCACCCGGTGAGGGTCGAGGAGGGTTCAGACCAGTGAAAACTATTTTTTTGTTTTCACTACTTTTTGTTTTACCAGGTAAAGCCCACCGAGCGATGTATAGCTCTTTTTGTCAGAAGCGACCCGGCTATCACACAGTTGACATCTATCGTCATGTGGGGGGACACATGCACAGCGGCCAAACATTCTAAGCGCGCGTTCATTCTAAAAGCGGAGGGGGAAAACCGGAGCCAACCGCGCTAATCCGAGGTACAGCGGTGTGGGGAAGGACCACAAACTAAACACAAACAAAACGTGATCTGCGTGCGCGTAACTCGGTGGCGTTCGCCGACAGTGCCCCCCCCCCTTCTGCACGTCTCACGACGTCGTTCTTGTCTCCTAGACGTCATCTACTGAACGCCACGGGGAGACAAGAGCACAGCAGGAGCTTTTTACAAGTCCGCCGAAGGGGGCTTCACCCTTCGGCGGTTCCCAAGGAGGCGATGACCGTTTCGCGAAACAGGAAAAGAAAAATACGAAAAGCATCGCCGAACGCCCCCCCCTAACCTCTCCCCCCGAAACTAAACGGAGTTCGCTCCAAGCCAGGAGTTCGCTCCAAGCGAGGAGTTTGCTCCAAGCGAGGAGTTCGCTCCAGGCGAGGAGTTCGCTTAAAGCGAGGAGTTCGCTCCAAGCGAGGAGTTCGCTCCAGGCGAGGAGTTCGCTCCAAGCGAGGAGTTCGCTCCAGGCGAGGAGTTCGCTCCAAGTCAGGAGTTCGCTCCAAGCGAGGAGTTCGCTCCAGGCGAGGAGTTCGCTCCAAGCCAGGAGTTCGCCCCAAGCCAGGAGTTCGCTCCAAGCGAGGAGTTCGCTCCAAGCGAGGAGTTCGCTCAAAGCGAGGAGTTCGCTCCAAGCGAGGAGTTCGCTCCAAGCGAGGAGTTCGCTCAAAGCGAGGAGTTCGCTCCAGGCGAGGAATTCGCTCAATCGTCGTCTCCGTCGTCGACAAACGAAACGATCGGCAAAACAACCAAAAAAATGTACGCGAGGATGAAGATTGACAGCAGAAGATTGTACTGTTATATAAGCGCCCTGCTTACACAAGTCGTGCATATGAATACGGGTCACCCTGTAACGGTGAAGAAGTTGTCATAGGCACGGTAATGCAGACGGGTCGAATGAAACCCGGCCAACTGGAACACGAGCTGCAGTGGTGGTCGGATTCTGGACACACAAAAGAAGGCGCCGGTAATGGGGAGGTTGGTTGACCGCCTCATAGACCAGTGGTGGTGGGGGGGGGGGGGGGTGGCAGGACAACCCTCTTCATTCTGTCCACTCAGTGTAGAACTCCACGAGTGGGACGAGACTATACGAGCGCAGACCTCGAGGGTCCCAACTGCTGCAGGATCTAGCAGGAGGAAGGAAGAGATGGAGGTGTGGTGCCAGGCAGGCAGCGAGATGCTCAAACAAACACGCAAAGAGGAGGTAGGGGAACGTACCTCCCACTATGGCCTTCGTCGCCACAGAAGCGCGGATTTCAGCTCTCCTCTTCGTCTCTGCATCGTGTGAGCTGCCCTCGCTGGTGGCGGGGGGCACCATCATGGCAGCAGACGCGAACGGGGCGGCAATAAACAACGCGCAGGCCCTGGAGGTGTCCGAGTGACGCCACACGCGATGGACTACAACGCACGGGCGCGGGGGAGACGCGGCACCACCCCCCCGGTGGAACCACGCGGCCGGGCCGCCACTTCGGAGCGCGCGACCAACAAGAGCCTTGTTGCGAGCGGAAAGCACCACCACCACGTGTCGCAACCGCATCACCACCAACAACACGGGGTCCAACCTCAACACCACCAGTACCGTCATCGCATGGTCCAGCCTCAACACCTCCAGTGGTTCCAGCCTCAACACCATCACCACGGAGTTGAACCTCAACACCACCATGACATGTTCCAGCCTAAACACCTCCATGTGTTTGGAGCCTCAACGCCATCACCACCACCACCACGTGTTCTTTGCTCCCAAGGCACCTCGATGTTTCGCCGGCGAATTTCTGTTGGATCTGGCCGCTGGGTGCCAGCATTGTACATGGCGGTCGGCAATGGGGCGAGGCGAGCTGCCTTCACCGACTGGCTGACGGTAGCCAGGGCCACGGGAGAGGATTCTTCTAAACTATAAACTCAAACTGTTTTTATTTAACCAGGCGAGGCCCACTGAGCTATGTAGATAGTTTCGTGGAAGTGACCTGGCCACGAATGATCGTCCAATGAAGTGGCCTATGGCATGTAAATATATAGCAGTAGCGAAATACTCCGAACGCGTGTCGTTGCTAAATGTGGAGGGAAAAACCGGAGGACCCGGAGTAAAATCCACGTGACCACGGGGGGAGAGAGAGAGAGAAACACAGGTCCTCCTGCACACCAGGCGACGGAGTTAACATCTCGACCGAGGGTGGAGCTGGCGTGATCTTCATCCCCGAACTCGTGAGCACGCAGTGCCTCGGCGGAGCGCTTATTCCACTTGTTTAATACATAAATTAAGAGTCCCCTGGAATTCAAGAGAGAGAGAAAAACACTTTTCACCCGTTTTCTCATTACGAAGGAGGGATAAACCGGAACTGGAAACTGTTGAGTTGTAAAGCAACACGTGAGGATATATTTTTTGTACATGTGTATATATAAACAAGGACAAAGATCCACCCCCTCCTATAGCCTTAACAGACTGTCGGGGCAAGTGCTGTTAGCGAGCACCTATGAAGGCTGGCACGGTCCACGAGGGAGTGGGTGGCCAAACACCACGCCCGGCCGCCTTTGTCTCCCCTCAGTGGCGATGTTTACACACCACACCAGGTACTCATTTCGGGCTGAGTCGACCTAGGCGAGGCCCAGGACCGGTTCAGATAATCATCACTGGCGTTGGCCGCGAGTGGGAATCGAACTGGGGTCCACCGGGTTTGTAGTCCAGCGCTTCTAACCGCGACACGAGAACTACACACACACAGCGCGTTGAGATGTTTGATGTTGGGAAAATTAAAAGCAGGTGCCGCTCACGACTGTGCCTTAGGCAGACGCCAGAGGGAACGCAGAGGTGACACTGGCCGCGTGTGAAAGCTGAACCCACGCGACCTCGCGAAACCCAGTGAAGAAACACAGTGAAGAAACACAGTGAAGAAACACAGTAAAGAAACACAGTGAAGAAACACAGTGAAAAAAAACACAGTGAAGAAACACAGTGAAGAAACACAGTGAAAAAACGCAGTGAAGAAACACAGTGAAAAAAACACAGTGAAGAAACACAGTGAAGAAACACAGTGAAGAAACACAGTGAAAAAACACAGTGAAGAAACACAGTGAAGAAACACAGTGAAGAAACACAGTGAAAAAACACAGTGAAGAAACACAGTAAAGAAACACAGTGAAGAAACACAGTGAAAAAACGCTGTGAAGAAACACAGTGAAAAAAACACAGTGAAGAAACACAGTGAAGAAACACAGTGAAAAGACACAGTGAATAAACAGTGAAAAAACACAGTGAAGAAACACAGTGAAAAAACACAGTGAAAAAAACACAGTGAAGAAACACAGTGAAAATAACACAGTGAAGAAACACAGTGAAGAGACACAGTGAAGAAACACAGTGAAAAACACAGTGAATAAACACAGTGAAGAAACAGTAAAGAAACACAGTGAAGAAACACAGTGAAGAAACAGTGAAAAAACAGTGAAAAAAACACAGTGAAAAAAACACAGTGAAGAAACACAGTGAAGAAACACATTGCTTGTACTACATTGGACTCTACGCTCCCTCGCCATCGACAGCCGACAAGGAGCGGCACACGGTGAAGACGAGACGCGCGAGCCGCACGCCGTGGTGAGAAGAACCTCATCCAGCAATGGATTGACAATAGGGCTGTAAACGAGCTTACACACAATTACAATTGCTAAACGATGGGGGGGGGGGGGGGGCTCTTCCCTTCGACAAGTTGGCACAACAGCGGCCGTGCCAACTTTCACAACCCGGCCATAAAATTCTCACCTTGAAGACTCCGGTGCGAGTCGCGCCGGTGTTGTTTGGGTGTTGGGGGTTGGACTGGTACCGGTGTTTGGGCGTTCGAGGTTGGAGTCACACCGGTGTTTGGGTGTTGGGAGTTGGAGTCACACCGGTGTTTGGGTGTTGGGGGTTGGAGTCACACCGGTGTTTGGGTGTTCGAGGTTGGAGTCACACCGGTGTTTGGGTGTTCGAGGTTGGAGTCACACCGGTGTTTGGGTGTTCGAGGTTGGAGGCGGCAATGTTTGCGGCACTGCTGCAAGGAGCAGGGGAGGTGAAGCCGCACGAGCGAACACTTGCTACGTCTGTTGTGTCTCAACTCGCCAAAGCTTCGTCTGCTATCGTCAAAAGCCTACGATTATTATTATTATTTGTATTAAACTGTTAAAGCCACTGTAGGTTAGTCAGCAAGGCGGCCGGGTGGCTCAGAGGCCAGAGGGCCGTGCATTTCAGCGCTAAGATCGTGGGTTTCGAATCCGGCTTTCAGCCGCCCCTTGCGATTTAATCTGTTTATTAAGTCCGGCGAGTTGACGGTCTCGGCCCGCTCACTACTGAGTCCGCACACACACACACAATAAAACCACGTGAATTTACTTTTTCTTTCCACTTAACTTGGCAAAAATATTCCAGCTCTGAGAATGAAAATAAATAAATCAATTTCACAGCCATGTGATGAACATTTCTCTACAGCAGGGTTGCAAGTGCAGCACCCCTAGTGTGGAGATGTGGTCACTTGAAGGGATCTCATAAAGAGGTCTGTCATATCTCTCCTTCCACGTGCTGTTAGCTAGAACAGGGGGGTGATACACTGCTCACTGCGATATTCACGAATCAACACTTCATCTCGTGACATGATGTCGATAGCACAAACGGTACAAGGAATGAGATGGGGGAGCCCCCTGTTCAGTTTCCCACCTCTTCCTAGCCTGGAGCGAGGACCGCTGGGATCTGTGGGCCCTGGTGCAGTTGCACCGCCTACACACTCGGTAACTACGCCACCGCTTAGCACACCAAACGCCCAACAGCTCGGATGCTCTGCCACAAAGTCCTGAGTCTCTGCCAGCGTGGGTACCTTCATAGTTCACAGTGCATCTGGTATGGAAGTGCGTGAGTGCTTGAGTGAGTGCGTGAATGAGTCCGTGCGTGCGTGAGTGAGTCCATGCGTGCGTGAGTGAGTGAGTCCGCGGTGCGTGAGTGCGTGCGTGAGTGAATGAGTGAGTCCGTGCGTGCGTGAGTGAGTCCATGCGTGCGTGAGTCCGTGCGTGTGAGTGAGTCCGTGCGTGCGTGTGTGAGTGAGTCCATGCGTGCGTGCGTGCGTGCATGCGTGAGTGCGTGCGTGAGTGAGTGCGTGCATGCTTGGGTGAGTGCGTGAATGAGTCCATGCGTGTGTGAGTGAATGAGTAAGTGAGTCCGTGCTTGCGTGAGTTCGTGCGTGAGTGAGTAAGTGAGTCTGTGCGTGCGTGAGCGAGTCCATGCGTGCGTGAGTGGGTGAATGAGTCCGTGTGTGTGTGAGTGAGTCCATGCGTGCGTGCGTGAGTGCGTGCATGCGTGAGTGCGTGCATGAGTGAGTGCGTGCGTGAGTGAGTGAGTGAGTCCGTGCGTGCGTGAGTGAGTGAGTCCGTGCGTGTGTGAGTCCGTGCGTGTTTGAGTGCATGCGTGCATGCGTGAGTGCGTCCGTGAGTGAGTGCGTGAGTGAGTGCAAGACGAATGGCTTGGGCACCCGAGGGGACACAAGTGGGGCTCGCTTCGCCGGCGTCACCTGCCGCTCGGCGCACCGCTGCGTCTTTGTCGGACTCCCTTAAGGAGCGTGTCCGAGGCCTCTTCACAGACAGCGCCGTTGTCACACGCGACAGCGGAGAGCTACGGCGGGCGTTGCTGTCGAGTGTACAGGCGGTGCAACTGCACCGGGGGAGTAGGGGGGGGTCAACACGGGCTGGAGGGTTACGAAGAGAGGAGATGGGGAGAGGGTGGCATTCTTTACACCGGGGACCCATGCCAACCACGTGGCAGAACCATGACAAAGCCCCATGTGGTTTCGAGAGGGGGGAAGGGGCACCAGTTGGCATTTTGAAACCCCAGGCGTGTTGTGCATTGTACGACGCCGCGTGCCTGCGTGCACAGAGTCACGTGCAGCGAGGGTCGTGGTTCGCTCCTCAAGTTGGCCACACTGCTCAAAGGAACAAATGCATTCACATTGCACACGCATTCATACCTGCGCACGTACAATGCGACACACGTGCGTACGCGCATACATGCAAGCATACTGTTACTGTAATCATACATACATACGTGTATTCGTGCATTGACCTAAAGTGTAATGGAAATGTACGTACATTTCTCAATGTGACTGCAGCCAATTTATATGATCCTATTACTAGTCGCATGATGAACGTACGAATGAGGTGAACGCCGTGACCCGGTGGCAGGTGGTTAACGCGCAGCGCAACGAACCCGGCGGGCCGAGTTCGATTCCTGGCCGTGGCCAACTTTAGTTGGCGGTCGATTCTGAACCGGTCCTGGGTGCCACCTCCCCCCAGAACGATGGCTAAATAATAATCATAACTCGCAATGGAATTTAAGGATAAGTCGACCTACTGGACGTCAAGTACACGTTCAGATGTGTCACTTTTTATTGGTCGTGCAAATCAAGCTCGGGTCGCTGGGTTCGTAACACACTGCGCTAACCACTACACTACAGCTCCCCATATAAAGAAACACACACCTGCACAGTCAAACCTCACCGAAAGTGCCAATGACTCAATGACTCGCAGGGACGTGAGTCACGCATATAGCAAGCACCCCGAGGTGTCACCGTACCACATGGAGGAGGACAAAGACAAAGATCCCCCGTATAGCCTTAACAGACTGTTGGGGCAAGTGCTGTCAGCGAGCACCTATGAAGGCCGGCACTGTGGCACACGAGGGGGTGGGTGGCCAGCACCACGCCCCACGGCCTTTGTCTCCCCAGTGGCGATGTTTTTACACACCACACCAGGTACTCATTTGAGGCTGAGTCGACCTAGGGGAGGTCCAAGACCGGTTTCAGACAATGGTCACCGGTAATGGCCGGGAACGGGAATCCAACTCGGGTCACCGGGTTTGTAGCGCCACGCGCGAACCGCTACACCTACCGCTGCCCATCAGCGCCACACCAAATGGGAATTCAGGTGCTCAGCCTCGTGTCTACAACATGACCCAAGTTGACAGTTCGGCTTATAAATCGAGCAGTTGTCGTTTTGAACGCAAGCGATAGTGGCATTTGTCATTTTCGTGTCATTGAAATTTCCGTAGATAATTGTATAGTGACGGCCGCTCTGTGTATGAATGTATTTATTGCCATTGTAAGCTATTGATTTGTGCTGGACCAACCAACCAGACAGACTAATGGGCATGATCATGATGGATGTGTTTCCTTGGGAGATTTTTTTTGTAAGTAGAGAAATTATTTTGAAAAAAAAAACATTTTTGTAATATAGAGAAAATAACAACTAAGTTTGATTCTTCGCCACGGCTAACGTCAGTGGGCGAGGGGTGTCCGAACTGGGCGCTCGTCCTTCGACCTGCGCGGAGCGCACGTGGAGAAGTGTGCTCAAGAAACCCGCACGACCAACATGCCGTGGAAGAGGCCTTCATCCAGCAGTGGCTTGAAAAAAAAGGGCTGTAAATTATTCCTATTGATACCAATATCATAACAAAGCATGATGGTTAGGTTTATATTCACATTATT